AAGTAAGACGAGAGTACCAGAGGCAGATAAACACAATGATAATAGATTTGAAAAATAGAGATAGTGATTACGACCTAGAACAAATGTGGGGCTGCTACAAAGGTATACTACATAAAGCGGCAGAGTCAGTTTGCGGAACTGTGACAACAGGGGGAAGGAAGATAAAGACCCACTGGTGGAACAAAAAAACACAAGAAGCAGTAAAGAAAAATAAAGATGCTTGGAAAAAGTACCACCAATTAGGGACTATAGAAGCATATGAGGAATATAAAACGTACAGAATCATTGCCAAAAACACAATTAAAAAAGAAAAAGCAAAGGAGTGGGAAGAATTTGGGGAAAAAATGGAGGAGAACAGAAAAAGCAACCAAAAACTTTTCTATGCGAACCTAAAGCGATTGAGACAAGAAGAAAACAAGTCAATGAGTCAAATCATTAACAAAGAAGGACAGATTCTCAACAACCCCACGGAAATTCTCGACAGATGGAAGGAGTAGGTACCTCACCGAATTGCTCGAAGGAACAGAAAATAATCAGGAAGCATCAAACTACGATGGCACAACGGCATCAGAACCTAGGGCTGAGATCACAGAAAACGACATCCACATAGACGAAGTAACATCGGCAATTAAATCATTGGAAAACGGCAAAGCGGCAGGTATTGACATGATCAAACCAGAGATGATCAAATATATGGGCAGAACTGGCACTAAGTATCTACACAAGATACTACAAAGAGCATGGAGATCAAGGAGAGTCCCCGAAGATTGGTCCACTGCAGCGATCATACCAGTACATAAGAAAGGAAATTATAAAGAATGCGGAAATGATAGAAGGATTTCATTATTAAGCGTGGCAGCAAAAATATACGAAAGAATTTTGGAAATAAGGCTAAGATCAACAGTAGAAGATTCACTGAACGATGCACAAAGCGGTTTTAGGCCGGGCCACAGCGTTCAAGATCATATATTCACGATCACACAATGCATAGAGAAATATAGGAAATATGACAAAGAACTTTACCTATGCTTTATTGACCTACAAAAGGCATTTAACAAAGTCCCAAGAAATCTTATATGGAGAGCTCTAGAAAAACATAACGCCGACAACAACTTATTAGAAGCCATAAAATCGTTATACAGAAACAATTGGAATATAGTCAGGGCCCACAATATGAAATCAACTAGATTTGCAACTACAAAGGGTGTTAGACAAGGAGGAGTGCTAAGCCCACTACTATTCATCATCTTCTTGAACGAAATCATCTGCAAATGCGAAGAAGAAACCAACAAAACCACAGTCGGGTATAAACATCTACAAAAACAGCAAATCGGAAATTGTACTTTTGCAGATAACATCACCTTAATAGCTAGTTCAGAAAAGCAACTCCAAAACTCCTTAAACAAATGGAATGAGGTCTTAGAAGAATCGAAAATGGCAATTAATAAAGACAAAACCAAAGTCATGGTTGTGGCTAGAGATAATAAGCAAATAGACATACATTTAGGGAGCTCGAGAATCCAGCAGGTAACAGAATTTAAATACTTGGGTACCATAATTGATTCAAATGGAAAACTGGATAGAGAAATTAACGCGAGAATATCGGCAGCAGTGGGAGTCTACATGAGTCTTAAGAATGGTTTCATTAACAAGAGAGAATTCAGTCGAAAAACAAAACTAGCTGTTTATAAGTCCATATACTTGCCTACTCTCCTCTACGGCAGTGAAACCTGGATATTAAGTGAAAAGCAAAAAAGTAAGATACAGGCGGCAGAAATGAAATTCCTAAGAAGAATCGTAGGAAAAACTCGACTAGACAAGATTAGGAATGAAACAATAAGACAGGAGCTAAATGTGCTATTAGAATTATTGAACAGTCCCAACTACGCTGGTTTGGGCATCTGAACAGGATGGGTGAAAATAGGCAGGTAAAGAAAGTCTGGGAAGCAAGAGGAACAGGAAAGAGGCGTGTAAGGAGACCCAGAGCAGATTGGAACGGTACCATAAGTAGGATTCTGGAAAGAAATAACACATCCTGGCAACAAGCTTCAGTACGGTGCAGGGACAGAACAGAGTGGAAAAGTTTTATCAGGGATATAAAATAATACGTTTCAACACTGTAATTAGTATTTCTGAATTGTTAATTAGTTGTAATTTCTTAAGAATTATTGAAATTTTTGTTACCTCGACACCGAAAGGTACAAGAGGTTTATTGATTATATATATCTTTAGTTCATTGTCAAACCAACTGACGTTGTCACGTTTGCCTTGTGTATTAGATTTAATACATCTTACTGGAAGAGCGATATCGATATGATCTTGAAGAATTTTAATAAATTTGGAAAATTTAAGTAAGTTATATAAGTTGAATTTCCCTAGGATGGTAATAGCCTTAATAAATTTATGAATAGATTCGCTACCAGGAGTTGACTTCATGGGTAAATGAAGTTGTAGTCAGACAGTGCAGCGTCAATAGGAGTTGCTAAAGTGCAACAAGCATCAATATATGTGTTTCAAGCAAAAGCTGTTCATGAGATCAGATAGTTTAGTCTTCAAAGTGTTGTCCTTGTTAAATATAACATTAAAGTCACCAGCAAGAATTATGCTTTTTTGTAGGGAGCTAATGGTACTGAACAACTTGTTTAACACGTCTAGGAATAGATTAAAATCTCCAGAGGGAAGTCTATACACATTGATAAAATAGACATCTAGATCGTTAATATATATACCAGATAATTCACAATAATGATTGATGATCGATGGAAAGTTGTTCCACGTTGGTAGAAGCTAAGCAGTTAAACCCGTCAGTCGTCATGATTAAGGATCCTTCATAATTAGAAGATTGACGCAAGAGCAGTGATTTAGTGCAGAAGTCACCAATTTTAAGGCAATCGGCTTCACCATATGATAACCAAGCTTCACGTAGTCCCACCACAGAGAACTTATTAGCCAGAAGGAATGCTTCCATTTCTTGAATTTTAGACTTTATCGACTGAATATTATAAATTAAGATACTCAGGATGGGAGCGTCATTTTTGTTGAGTTCAGAGCTCCGACGGGTGGGACTGCCCTCAGCTGTTTGGTTTCGTGGTGGATTGTTTGTGGAGTCGAAAAAAATACCTTTTAACCACAACTCCAGAAGACCAGAATTCGGCTTTATTAATATCCCTAAAAGCGGATGGATTCATCGAGATTTTAAAGGCTCGACTGATTGCCGTGTCCCGTTTTGGTAAAAGCTCGACGTGGAATACTTCAAGAGTACTTTACTCGCAAGGTAGTTTAGGACTTCTTCCTCAGTGACATTCGGATTAACGTTGCCAACATATAGGTGGACTTGTTTCGTTACCGCGGCGAAGTTAGTCGTAATATCACCACGTTGGACTATTGGCACAGGAGCATTACCACGTACTAGTATTTTCCTACTCGGAGTTTTCCTAGTTTTCTGGGTAGATAGATTTTCTGTAGCTTTCACGGGTTCAACGAGCTCTGGCTTGTTTACTGCAACAGGTGATTTGATCACCTCAAGTTCAACTTTTTCTTCGCTTTGTGCGATAACTTTTTCACTGGTGTTGAATTTGCAAATTCCTTGTTTTTCTTTCAGCAACGCGACTTGTTCATTTAAGACCTTGATTTGATTATTCAGTTGGCTTATTATAGTGTCATTTTGTTTAATAATGTAGTGGACTATCCGGATGTCCCCATTATCCGGGTCAGATAAGGTATCCGAAAATTCTTGATTGGACTCGCTTTCCGTGGGTAGTGTTGTTATTGAGTCACAACATATAATATTATTGTCGCTGACAAAACTCACAGACTTGAGAAGCTTGGCACAACCCTTGTGGAAAACACTACCACAGTTAAGACACTTAAAAAACTTTCTATAGGCACATTCTTGCACCTTTTACAGGCTTCGGTATTGACCGCGTGCACGAGGCCAGACGCCATGTTTAAAAAAAGTTACAGTGTGATGAACTCCAAGACGAATTTTTTTAACATGACGGTGCCACGGCACATACAACAGTAGACAATTTGAATTTTTTACGTGAATTCTTTGGTGATAGAGTGATTGGTTTACGTTCAGTTCCTGAGTACCCCCAAGGTCACCAGATTTATCCCCTGTGGATTGATTCGTGTTCGGTCACCTAAAAAACACTATTTTTAAAACTCCCATTCACACCATAGAAGAACTGAAAGACAGAATTACCGCAAGGTGTACTCGCATTACTCCTGCCACACTACAAAATATGTTTGATAACATGAAAGGACGTACCAATTTATGTATACAGGAGAATGGATACCATTTCCAACAGTTTCTTTAAATTTGTATTCGCCTTTTAAGTAAACTTATTCATAAATCTGCACAAGTTAGTTTCTTTCACTAGTTTTTCTAGTTTTCAACAAGCAAGAGCTAACCTTCGTTTGTAAATTGATTTAAGTCAGTTTGCTATCAACATTACGCATTCTTTGATCTAAATAATCAATCAGCACACACGGTATTAATAAATAACTTCATAAGACTTAATAATTAAAATATCGACAATAAGAGTCACAGTTTAAGATAAAAAAAAACGAAGCCACGACTGTTGTTTGTACTATCACGAATAAGTTTATAAATATAGAGCCTTACCGTACTGTGCATTATCAGCAACAACTAAGTAACCATTACTATTATTTCCATATTGCCATTTTATCAAGTGCCATTAGTGTACCTGCTCTCTATTTAAAACTTCTTTATCAGTTTTAATATTTGAAAGACTACAGAACTTCGTTCATGTGAAACCATGTTCTTCAATTTATTATTTCTAACGATGTTTTACAACATTTTCAGTAACGGGCTTATCATACATAAAAAGAATAATGCTTGTTCACATTTAATCTACTACCCTGTAAAAGATTTTAGCTCGAATTGTTACCGAAAACGAGACGTCGTCCCTTCTACCGTAACAACAATAACAACAACTAGAAGTTTCAAGATTTTAACAAAAAACTTTTAGCCTGATATGATTAAACTAAATGGTTACAAATTCGAAACACACGAAATAGTTACTGAGGATGGTTATAAATCGCTGGCTTTTCGTATACCGCCAAAAATTCACGACAACAGAAAGGAGAAACAACCCATCGTCTTAGACCATGGTATTCAGGTTAACTCGGAAGTATGGACGTGGAGGGAAAACAGATCTCTCGGTATAGAATAGTCTTGCTTCAATTAATTCCCCAGTATAACATTCACACCACTGCAGCTTTTGTTTTGGTAAATGCTGGTTATGACGTATGGTTGGTGAATCAAAGAGATAGCGGTTACACCACCCATGTTAAGTACAAAATGTCAGATTTCAAATTTTGGGCCAACAGGTATGTCGTACATTCAAAATAATTAAATCATATTTCTAACTGATGGTTTCAGCCTTGATACAGTTGCAACTAAAGGAATTTCAGCAATTTTAAATACAGTTGCTACAGCAACTAATAAATCAGGATCTATTATTTATATTGGTCACTCTAGAGGAGCTACTCTGGCTTTTATGTACGCCTCTGAGTATCCCGAGGAAGCCCAAAAAATTCTGACAGGTGTGGTCGCCCTGGCTCTCATTATATATTTCGAACCCGTTTTCTATGTGAAACTACTTTTCCAATTATCACCTGTGCTTAGTGTAAGTTTTTCACTTTTAATTTTCTTTTAGTGGCATCTTGTTCTTTGTTGCGCAGAAAATCGTAAACGTATTGAGAATCCCAGTGATAAATTATCCAGTCAAAAATACAGCAAAGTTTTTTAAGATTCTTTGCACCGGTAACTTTCTTTTTCTTTACAGGTAGAGAACTTTGCTACTACACTTACTGTTTCCATTATAATATAATCTTTTATTATTCTTCTCGATTCTTAACGTTCCACTGTCACTCATGCAAGTTCAACAATATGCCCGAATGTTTCACTCAGGAAAATTCCAAAAGTATGACTATGTAAAAAAAGGCAGTATTCTAAAATATTATCAAGAGCAGCTTCCTTTGTATAATCTGACTAACTGTAAGCTTCCTGTGTATATGTTTTATGGTACATGTGACATCTTCATCAAGGAAAAAGTAGTATGATTTTTTCTTCTTTCTGGTTAAAAATGTCCCTTTCCAGGCTGTGAAAAAAGTTTTTAAAGAACTTGGGTGCAGCGAAAAAGAATATTTTCGGATACCAAGTGGAACTAACACCAAGAAGTTGAAGTTTGGTCACAATGATTATCTTTTTGCTAAAGATATTGAGGAGTTGTTCTACAGGAATCTCTTACGAGTACTGGATAAATTGCAGCCCAAGAAATAACTTTGGTTGATACAGAATTAAATATTTGTTTTATGCATTATTTACTCTGAATTCTTTAAAATATCGTGTGTAGAAGTGTGGAAATAGTCCTTGCAGATACTCAAACGCGTCGTTTCCATTTTGGTTAATTTTGGCATTTAGAGCATCGTTGTGGCATTGATCATCAAACACTTTCATGTAATTAAATATAGCTTGCTGAGGTACTATATAGTACAGTTCCATGGACAGACAATCCGTAAAGATGCCTAATTTGAACCTGGTTTGGCAACTCAAATCTGAATGGTTCAACGTAAGGCAAGTTGGCTCTTGTGGTGTGTTCAATCATATTCAGAATGTAATATTTCCAGTATTAAGAGATTTATTGTTATGAAATTTTAAATATAACTTGTCCACGACTTGTAGAATAAAACGCAATAATTGAAAGTGGAATTTAGGTCAGTAAAATAATTTTTTATGAAAATTTCGGGACGCGGTTTTCACCACTGTTTTCACCTTACAAAACTATATAACTATTTATTGTTCTTTTCGCTGACAAAAACGGTTGACAATGTTTTCCCTAGGCTTTATATAGTTTTGTAAACTGAAAACAGTGGTAGAAACCGCTTTCCAAAATGTCCCTAAAAAAATGGAAACTTGATTTTTAAAGATGTGATGCAAAATTTTTACTAAAATAAAAAAAAAAAAACAATAATCCTATTAATATTAGAGATTATGCATTTTAAAAATGTATTAAAAATCCCACGAAGCAAAAGGCGGCCTTTTAAGGATGGAATAATGTCTTCCCTATCTTGGCATCCGCCCAGGTTGATTTTCTGTGCACTTCATACTCAAGATTGTTGCTAGATCTCGTGATTTTCGTCTAGGAAGTTTAGAATCCTATTTTCTTCTTTTTCCGTAGTAAACGTAGTTTATATATGCGTTGAAGGAATTCTTCTGCCTGGTTGTCTCTATTTCTCCAAATATCCAATATGCTCTCTACATCCCTCACGCAACAAATTTGTTATCCTTGAACTTCAAGTCATTTAGACAACGATGACAGCCAGCGTGATTCTTGACCGTGAGAAGATCCCCACCATGTCCACTAAAAATGTCGCAGAGCACCGACGAAAACAGTGGCCTGTCTATTGCGTAGAATCTGGTAGTTTAAAAAATTGGGCAAAATTTTAAGAAGGTATTTTTTCCAATAAGTCAAAACCATAATCGCTGACGGTTTCTTCATTTTTGCTGATGTAATTGGAGAATGATGAACGGGCTATTAATTATATTTTTGTATATAATGACTTGTACTAGATTTGTCAAGGATTTTATAAGTAGACCCCAAAGACAATTAGGCAGTTATTTGTGTATGTTTCGTATCGTATAAAAAAGAAAAATAATCAGATTTGTAGGAAGGCATAAATATCTACGTATCAGCAGACTAGCACCGATATATTAGATGATATTTATAAAATTAAAACAATTGTTTTTACTTCCCGAGCGTAAGCAAAGGAAGTATTGTAATCGAGTCCGTCGGCCGACTCTCTACTTTTACGTTTTCTCGATCTTTCATGACCCCTAGAAGACGAAGAAATAGGTCTCCCATTTCCGTCTGTCTGTCCGTCTGTACGTCTGTCCGTCCGTCTGTCCGTCTGTCCGTCTGTCCGTCTGTCCGTCTGTCCGTCCGTCTGTCCGTCTGTTGTCCCGGATTTTTATTAGACAGATAATCTCCGAAAGTACTCGACCGATTGTTGTGAAATTTTGTACTTATATTAAGAATATCATGTAGATGGTAAAACGCTAACCAAAATTTGTCTAATCATCCCCACCACTAATGCGATGACGTCACTTCAAAATTGTACATAGTAAATGGGTTTTCAATTGTATAAAATAACATAGTCCTACACATGTAGTTTACAACTCTGAATCGACTTTTCACCCGAAACGTCCAGATTTTTGGAAAAAAAATCAAAATTATAAAACAACATTTTGAAATTTAATTTTTAATCTGCTAACCAGAATGCTTTGAAATGTTGCAGATGTTTTAAGGCTATAAAGAGCATCATAAATCTTTAGTCAAAAAATATTTGCTTATCCCCTCCAAAAACTTGATGACGTCAGCTCAAAAGTTTGTGGAATAAATCATATCTAAAATGTACAAAATATGATGAGTCTGTACTTGTGATCTATCACTCCATTCATATTTTTTGGATTTGCATATACAGGGTGACTCAAAAAAATTAATGAATGCGTAAATATATTTTATTGATTTAATCAGGAACTACAAAACCGAATGCTCTGAAATCTTGCAGATGTTTTAAGGTCATAAAGAGCATAATAAATGTTTAGTCAAAATATATTTGCTTATCCCCTCCAAAAACTTGATGACGTCAGCTCGAAAGTTTGCCGAATAAATCATATCTAAAATGTACAAAATATGATGAGGCTGTACTTGTCATTTATCACTCCATTCATATTTTTTGGATTTGCATATACAGAGTGACTCAAAAAAATTAATGAATGCGTAAATATATTTTATTGATTTAATCAGGAACTACAAAACGGAATGCTCTGACATCTTGCAGATGTTTTAAGGTTATAAAGAGCATAATAAATGTTTAGTCAAAATATATTTGCTTATCCCCTCCAAAAACTTGATGACGTCAGCTCGAAAATTTGCCGAATAAATCATATCTAAAATGTACAAAATATGATCAGTCTGTACTTGTGATCTATCACTCCATTCATATTTTTTGGATTTGCATATACAGGGTGATTCAAGAAAATAAATGAAAGCGTAAATTTACTTTACTCACACACACAATAGGCATGCAGTCGTCAATTTTCCGACAGCGAGGGAAGTACTGTCTAAACTCTTTAGACCAATTTTTTTTAGTCGTAAAAGAAAATAAAAACCAATTTAATTAAGAATTCTAAAAAATGAAGTTTAGTCTAATGTTTAATAACAAACAACAATCAATTTCAGTATATGTATGTACACATTAATTCATTATTTGCATATCTACAATATAGATACAGATTGATTACATTCCTTAGATACATAGGGTTATCAACGTCCTTGTTTGGAGTAATCAACGTTACATTACTAGTAATTAATTTATAAACTACAATAATGCACATATTTCAACTACAAAGTAAAAATATCGCTCACATGTCATGATACTTTTTTTTAATAAACTATGACAAAACTATGATTGAGTAAGAAAATACGACGAGGCTGCAATCCATGTTCGGTATTTTTGCTCCAATTTAGAATTATTACACTTTCTGTCAACAACTAGTCCCTAAAAGAAAACCTGCTTCAATTACGTGTTTTTATTTTGTTAACTGTTTTTTCACTGTGTACCAATTTTCAAGAAGAAACAAAGTTTCGTAGTCGCTACGCTTGCAGGTTCTTCAGTATTTGGTCACATTAAATTTTCCGCTTCCTCTCTGACACAAACTTTGACAGTTCGTCAAAAGAGTATATTTTGGGAAAATCGTTGTGAAATGCATTAAAATTCTGTGAACAAATTTAAACCAGAAGCCATTTCGATACTCCAAGAGAACCATGACTTGGTATAAAATGTTCATTTTAGTTACGAAACCTAACTGGATGTATAGTGAGAAAAATATTCGACGATGGAAAATAGCCTTGACGTCGTTTCTTGCTAATTCTGAGTATAAGGAGTCAAAAGGTATCATGGCACTTCACATTGCAAAATTTTTAAATATTTTGTACTCGAAGCGCCTAATAGATGCAAATACACAAACGCGTTTTGAATGCGTGAACAACGAATCTAGCGTTGCCATTTGTTAGACGAAACGTATTCTGATATCTTAATAGCATCACGTGGGTTTTAACACGGGTTGTTCATGTTTCGATCTTTAACATGAATGCTGCATCCGTTGAGCGATTCTGACAAAAATTTTTGTTACATATATGTACAAAATATGAGACACACACAGACGACATTAATTACACATTAGAACAACCATTTACAACATCACTTGAAAATTATAAAATTATTATTAAACTATTAGAACTAAAATTAATTGTACGATGGAAAATTATCTTCATCAAAGTGTTCTCTGATTGAAATATGTTAAATGGTGTTACCTGTGAACGGTTTGGCTATATAAATAATATGATTCTGATTAAGATGATTCTCTATCGCACCATACTGTTTTCTGTGCGGTGATTTCGGAATGTATGGACAACTTGTAGCTACTACAATGGACAAGATGAAGTTTCTGCTGATGGTGCAGGAATTTCGCCTAAATTCTCTGGTTTGGAAGTCGTTTAGCGTATGTTTTACTGCAATTTTAAATATTTTGTGATATTGTGACATCTTAAAGTTTCAAGTTACCTTAAAACGCTCTTCTGTTGATATTTTCCAGATCAGTTAGCGGTATTAAACCCATTTCTCAAATCTTGAGGTTAGAAACGTAAAGAAAAGCCTACAATTCAAAATGTTATAAATAAAAATAAGTACTTTGTTCGGAAAATTTACCTCTTTTAAATTAGTTGATATTAAATATTTTTTGAAGTGGAAGTTTTTTCAAAAACATTCTTCATTCTTCCAAGAGGTCTTGACGAATGACAAAAGTTTTGGTTCCAATTTTTTTAAAAAGATGGAAACACCTATCCTGAAATGTTAAACCAAATTTACAAAGTTAATTTCAAAATATTTTCACTCACCTTAGTTTACGTGTTTTGTTTGTATTTTTCAATTTGGACAGTAAGACGTACGCCAGTTTTTGCTGCAGCTTTCTTCGTTTTGTTGTGAAGGCCTCACGAAAAAATTTTTGCTGCAATTTCATTATTAGATAACCCCAAATATATTTAGATGATAACTCACCTGAAGTAAAAGTTGAAGGTACGCTGAGTTTGGCCGAAAATGCAGTTGAAAAATTTTGGTAAAAAAGTGACTGATTAAGTTTGCATTAATGTGATCGTCAATTAATCCAAATTTGGAATACTATCAGAATAATTTATGGAAAGTTCAAAATTTGTGTCATTAGAAGAAAATAAATTTGGTGAAAGCTAAAAATCCGAGAATCATACTTCAGAACAAACTATGAAGAAAATATTTATAAGAGAATTCGCCATATCAAATTATTTAGCTTGTGTCTATATTTTCCATAGAGGTGAAAATTGTGTGAATCTCAAAAATAAGTTTAAATATAAGAATAGATAAATAAATAAATTTATAAACACAGTACAAATCTTCACAATATCTGAAGACAGATGAAAGATAAAGGTATGTATACAACGGTGTCCATCATAAACTAGTCGTTTTCTTTTGATTTGCGTCTTTCGTCTATTGTGTTCCACTAATTGTCAAATCTATTTCCTACCTTTGTTAAATGGTGCGGTACGTTTCTCAAATTATTTTGGTTTGTGTCAAAACAGTTTCTTTTTTTTGGCAAAACAATTTCGTTGGGTTGATGAAGACTGTGTTCAACTCTTAAGGAAATTAAAATTAAATTGTTAGAGGAAAATCCTCAACAAGAAATAAGCGTATCTACCATAGACAGAGCTTTGAATTTGGAACATAGATACATTCTAGAAGGTCGTACGGAAGATTAATAATTAATAATAATTAATAATAATTTTTTAATAATTTAGTAATTAATTTTTCCAACAGACAATTGTCCATATAGAAACATATGCTGACAGAGTAGTACTACATTTACTTACATAATAAAAAAATAATAATAAAAAATGAATATATAAACTAGAGAAAAAAAAAATCAAAACACCATAAATAATTAACAATTGGCAGTCGTATACAAGATTAATTAACCCATTCGTACTACAAGACCAGATGGTTGACACACATTTTATTGACTATAATGCAATATAATTAATTTTTTTATTTTACTTCTATGTAATTTGTCGCAGAAAATATCGAACTTATCACTCAAAAAGTTGCATAGTTTAAAACAATTTAATTAAGGAGAATTGTAGTGGTGGTAACTATTCGGAATTACATAATGAAATGTCTGTGGCATTCGGCTTATACTCCTAGGTGCAATGATATTTATTTGGCTAAGTAATGTATCACTATGCACTGAACCAGCAATAATTTTTTGTAAAAATGTAAGACAAGCCAAATTTCTTCTACTCAAAAGTGATGTTTCATTAACTGTGTTCAAAAGAATTTTTTGGTCACAGTGTATCTGGCAAACATTTTGAAAAATACGTATTTACAAAATTTTGTCAGTACATTTTCAACAAGAAAGATATAAATATTATGCGTTGGGTTCCATACTACACTACAGTATTCTAGCTTTGCTCTGACTAAGGTTTAAAACAACAACTTTATACAATGTACATTGTGTAAATCTGTTGCATTACGAATTACAAATCGTAGCATCTTCAGTGCACTGTTTGTAACATATTCGATATGCGGTATAAATGACAATTTGTTATCTACTACACTCCCCAGGTCTGATCACAACGATCTAAAAGCGTACCATTCATGTTGTACATAAAATTAATGGGTTGCAATTTCCTAGTTATTGTCATAACTTTACATTTAGGGAAATCTACATTAAGGCAATTAATTTGACAACAATTTAAGAATGAATTAATACTATCTTGTAATTGAAGACAGTCAGAATACGAGGTTATAACATTTACAATCTTCATATCATCCGCATATATGTAAAATTTACAATCAATATGGTTAGATATGTCATTAAAAAAAAGTATGAAAAGCAAAGGACCAAGGTTGGACCCTTGAGCTACACCGGTTTTGCAATAAAATTCTGTCGACATAAATCCATTATACTCAACAAATTGACGCTTGTATCCTCTGTGTGTGATTACCAAGTAACTGTAGCGCAAACAAAGTTAAAGATCAGCTGAGAGGCCGTAATTACTCGATTGAAAATTTTTAAAAACCCAATTGGGTCACTTACATGAACATAATATTATGGCCGTACGGATATATTTTAATGAACAATGTAAGATTTATAACTAACTAGGTAAAAATTGGTTCAAGGTATCAGGCAGAACATTCCTCTCTCCTGTCCAACAAATTTAGTTGTTTATTGAATTAAATTTTTTTAATAATAAATCCTGTAATTAAAGTAATAATATCTCTCAAGCGTTAAGATAACAATGTTTTTTATAATAAAGTTTTGCAATATTGTCATTCAGATTGTAGCAAAGACGCTCATACCAATTTGAATAGGTATAGCAAAATCCATATCATAACAGTACTGCATTCTCAAATTTACGGAATTGTAGGTTGAACTGTCCCTGTTTTGATCAACAATAAATAAAAAAAAAATGTGGTGGCGGATGGTACTAGACAATTGAAAGTCTGGCCCGGCGCTGCGCGGAGTTTTGGATCGCCGTTGAAGGTTTCGACAGATTTTTGGTCACTATTCGAGGTCAACCTGCATTATTCATTTTAATAAACGAAAGTTCTTGCTCCGCATTTCATTCGGCATTCGACAATTTTTTCGTGGCTTTGAGGGGAAGCTACGTAAAGCGGTGTCTTTTACAACTTTTATCAGCGCGACTGATTTCGGCTACGCATTTCACTAGGCATTCGACAATTTTTTTCTGACCTTTCGAGGAAGCTGCGTAAAGCGGTGTTTTTTACCACTTTTATCAGCGCGATTGGTTTCGGCTACGCATTTCACCAGGCATTCGAAAACTTTTTCGTGATCTTGAGAGGAAGCTGCGCAAAGCGGTGTCCGACCATAATTATCAGCGCGATTGATTTCGGCTCCGCATTTCACCAGGAATTCGACAACGTTTTCGTGACCTTAAGAGGAAACTGCGTAAAGCGGTGTCCGTCCATCTTCATCAAGACTATTGATTTCGGCTCCACATTTCACCAGGCATTTGACAATTTTTTTTTGACCTTGAGAGGAAGCTGCGTAAAGCGGGGTCTGACCATATTTATCAGCGCGATTGATTTCGGCTCCGCATTTCACCAGGCATTCGACAATTTTTTCGTGACTTTGAGAGGAAGCTGCCAAAAGTGGTGTCCAGCCATCTTCATCAGCGCTATTAATTTCGGTTCCGCATTTCACCATGTATTCGACAACGTTTTTGTAACCGCCCAGGGAAGCTGCGAAAAGCATTGTCCAACGATTTCCATTAGCGCCATTGAATATGGTTAAGCATTTCTCCAGGTTTTTGACCATTTTTTTCTGACCTTTCGAGGAAGCTGCGTAAAGCGGTGTTTAACCAAAAATATCAACAAGGCAATTGATTTCGGCTCCGCCTTTCACCAGGCATTCGATAACCTTTTCGTGATCTTGAGAGTAAGCTGCGCAAAGCGGTGTCCAACCATAATGATTAGCGCGATTGATTTCGGCTCCGCATTTCACCAGGAATTCGACAACATTTTCGTGACCTTGAAAGGCAGCTGCGTAAAGCGGTGTCCGTCCATCTTCATAAAGGCTATTGATTTCGGCTCCACATTTCACCAGGCATTCGACAATTTTTTCGTGACCTTGAGAGGAAGCTGTGAAAAGCGGTGTCCCATCATATTTATCAGCGCGATTGATTTCGGCTCCGCATTTCACCAGGCATTCGACAATGTTTTCGTGACCTTGAGAGGAAGCTGCGTAAAGCGGTGTCGTACCATAATTATTAGCGCGATTGATTTTGGCTCCGCATTTCACCAGGCATTCGACAATGTTTTCGTGACCTTGAGAGGAAGCTGCGTAAAGCGGTGTCCCTCCATCTTCATCAAGACTATTGATTTCGGCTCCGCATTTCAACAGGTATTCGACAATTTTTTCGTGACCGTTCCAAGAAGCTGCGTAAAGCGGTGTCCATCCACGTTTATCAGCGCGATTGATTTCGGCTCCGCATTTCACCAGGCATTCGACAATTTTTTCGTGACCTTGAGAGGAAGCTGCGTAAAGCGGTGTCGTACCAGTTGTATGAGCGCTATTGATTTCGGCTCCGCATTTCAGCAGGCATTCGACAATTTTTTCGTGACCTTGAGAGGAAGCTGCGTAAAGCGGTGTCGTACCAGTTGTATGAGCGCTATTGATTTCGGCTCCGCATTTCAGCAGGCATTCGACAATTTTTTCGTGACCTTGAAAGGAAGCTACGTAAAGCGGTGTCGTACCAGTTGTATGAGCGCGATTGATTTCGGCTTCGCATTTCACCAGGCATTCGACAATTTTTTCGTGACCTTGAGAGGAAGCTACGTAAAGCGGTGTCTTACCACTTCTATCAGCACGATTGATTTCGGCTCCGCATTTCACCAGGCATTCGACAATTTTTTCGTGACCTTGAGAGGAAGCTGCGTAAAGCGGTGTCTTACCATCTTCATCAGCGCGATTGATTTCGGCTCCGCATTTCACCAGGCATTCGACAACTTTTTCGTGACCTTGAGAGGAAGTTGCGTAAAGCGGTGTCCGTCCATCTTTATTAGCGCGATTGATTTTAGCTCCGCATTTGACTAAGTACTCTACAACTGTTACGTGCCCCTCTCGAGAAGCTATTATAAGAGGCGTACTACGATCGAATTTAACAGTAAAATTTACTTTTTTATTAAAAATATTCCAAGATGAAAAGAATTGTTTGTTAACAATTTTAAACGCTTCTGCGTATCCGTGCAAAGCGGAAAAAAATAAGATATTAATTTTGTCTGTTCGACTATACGAATCTTTCAATCGTGATTTGCGTGTTTGTAATAATTCCAGTTCCGCTCCCAAACTTTCGCTTTCTCGTGCACATGCCGAGGGTGTGATTTTATGTAAAATATCTTGTTCTAATATTTCACAATTATCTAACAAAAACAATAACGCTTTAAAATATTCTTCCGTTTCTAATAAACTACTCATAACCTCCCTATTTGCCTCAATAACACAACCTCTAGTTTTGATTTCTACATTTATACGCCCATGCCTTCGTCCCCAAGAACAAATGAGATGTAACGCACTTCTTCCACATTCATCTTTACGTTTTATTATTTCGTCGTCAAAGTTCTCCACTTCATCAAAATTTCTGTATAAAATCGCGATGTGGACCGGTGAATTTTTGCCAGTTAACATGTCGAAGAAGAAACGTACATTATTATACTTTTTATCAAAAAATATGTCTCTGCGTGCCACTGCAAAATTTTTAGAAAAATATGAAGCAACAAAATATTCGGCAAAGGAAGCATGTGCAAATTGCGGTATGCCGTTTTGTAGTCCGGTCACGATACCAATAGTTGCGAAATCTTCAGAAACGGAATCTCTATCTTGTGAACAATCTATCTTTAATTGTTCTAAAATTTCTTCAGGAAATATTACTTTAAGCGCCAACTTTTCATACTGTTCTAATTTCTCTTCCTTTCTTTTCCTTACATCTTCTTCCCAAAAAACATGATTTACGGGTACTTTATCTCCATAGAAAAATTTAAATTTTCCTTCAATGAAGTAACGATACATGTCAGTCAGGAGAAATTTATTGTTTAATAACTCTATATAATTTTCTTTATTTTTAAGTAAAACGTCTGTAAGCATAAAAATCTGAAGAGGGATTCCCAATATATCGATATGTTTTGTAAATGCAAACGTGGATTTAATTTTGTCGATGGTCGGTTTCATGTCTGCAGACGCAAGAAAACTGTTAAGACGTTTCTTAATATAATCTTCTTGCTCGACTTCGCTGAGCTGATTCATACTCACTGACAGTGTGTCAAGTTTTTCTTGAAGAGAAGACCTCAAATGTTGCCTTGCAGTAACCCACTGAATGAACCCTTCTTGTGATAACATAAGAATGAGACCTAAAGTGGCATCTAAATAGTGAGTAAATATTTCATCAAGAGCGTCCCATACATAAACCAGCTTGCGTTGCTTTAAACACAGTGTCAAGTATTCTCGATCCAGCCCAGCCAACTGTCGATATTTTTCGTTTAAAATGAATGTTTCGAATAGTTTTAAATTTGCTGATATTTCATATTTTCCTGAATTTTTAAAGAAACACATAACATCTTGAGCACTCAGAATCACGGTCCAATATTTCGCACGACAGTTGTTTTTTAGACTCTTCGTTAGCTCGGTTTTGCCCATTCCTGGGTCAGCTGTTATTAGATTTATGTTGTTGATGAATTCGGAAGACCAAATTTCGTTTTCGTTTTTGGAACGACTAGGTAATTTATAATTTCGCAGTTCATTAACAGATCCTTTGCTTCCAATCCATTCTAAATTTTTATCTTTGAGAAATTTAAAATAGTGTACAGTTTTGGATGCTTCTGCTTTAGAACATATTTTCTGAAAATCAGAATCACTGCAATTTTTTTCACTTCTTATAAAAATTGGATTATCAAAAATTTTGGGGTCTGCATTACTTAAAAAACCCTCGACGTCTGTTAGAGTATGCTTCTTAGATATTTTCAATTCCTGAGAATTACCTTCGCAATTTAAAATGATAACAGTATTTCGATCAACATTTTCTAAATATTGAATGTCTATAATATTGACTGACAAATACCTATCGATATAAAAATTGGGAAAAACTTCCTTTTGTCCATCTATATGGTATAGACCATTTGCCATCTCTAATAGTTTTTCCACAGTAACATGATTTAAAATTTTACCATTTTTTTCTAAAGCAGTCACCAAATTACGTGGTTCTTTGCCTTGTATAGAAATGGTGAATTTTCGCAATACTTTTTCATACAATTCAACTTTTGGTTCCAAGTTGAACAAGTTTTGAAACACAGAGCGTTCTGTCATCCATGTTTCATATTTTCCCTCGCCAAGTATAATAAATTTTGCATTTGGACAGAGCTTAATAGCTTTCTCCATATTGATGTGTTCCTTTACAATAAGCGGACATTTCTCCATCAGCCATAGTAATTGTGTCAACAAATTTGCATCCAGATTTTCAACACTACTTATATAATTAAAAGAAAGGGAATAAAGTAACCGAACTTTGTTTAGTTCTTTGAGGTCAATGTTTTGGTCCAAGTCTCCCCACAAATTTTTAACTGCGTTGCTGCCTTTTTTTTCCAACAACGTAATGTCGAACATACAAATAGCCTTTCGAAGTATTTTCATTTCGTCTGTGACTGAACCAAAAACAAACGGTTCGATCTGAGAAGAAAGCAAACGAAGTGCGATGACACGTTGCATTATTCTTTTGCTTAGCTTTTCTTTTTTTCCATCTCGCATACTCCATTCTGATATGACTTCGACGTACTTCTTGAAAGTTTCTTCGTTAGAGCAAAACATTTCAGTAAATTTATTCATTGTTGATTTTGTAAAGGCTTCAAAACGTTCTTGGTTTGTGTAAAGACGAAAGCACTCGAAGAATTTTTGGTACTGCTGAATTTTTTCAGGATTTTGTTTAGTCCATTCATCCTCTACGATTTGAAATGTATGATAATAATTTATATTTTCCGAGATTCTTAAAACGTCGAAATCGTCTTTTGAAACTGTCCTTTTAATGGCTTTCAGGTAAAATTCTTCTCCGTCGAGTTTAATTTTTTTTTCTTCTGAAGTTACGAATGTATTTGTTGTGAATAATATAAATTCTTGCACTTCGCCTTGAACCTCTTGAGCAGATTTGAAATATTTAATTAAACTAAAGTCTCCCTTTTCGCCTTCTAGCTGCCTTATATATAATTGTCTTTTTTCGTTACTGTGTTTTAATTGCAGTGCTTTTGTTTTTATTCCCCTAACTGTCTTAATCTCAATAACCACGTCATCAAAATCACCAAAATTTTTATCGTTCGAAGAAATGCGAAAGTCATTTATTTTACTGTCGCTTACTAATTGTAGTGCGACGTTCGCGGTAACTAAATCTTCGTATTTTTTGCCCTTGTCGGTAGTTCCTCCTCGTTTTTCGAAAGTCTGAAACAGAATCAACAACGTGAATAAATCGAGAAAAACTATAATTCTTTCTAAAATATAGATCTACGAAGTATTTAATACTCGTATACCCTGTTATTGTACATTATTTAATTATTTTTCTAATGTGGACTGTCAGGTTGTATGTGGATGTGAATATTAATGTTTAACAAACAATAATCATACAAATTTAACAAAATGATGACAGCGCCAAAATTGCAGTAGGTGGCGCGTGCAGCTACAGAATGGCACGGGAGTCACGTGTCTTTTATGAAAACCAATATAAAATTTTAATGCAATGCTGTCAAGAACATGAGGTGAAAAAATCAACAGCAATTCAACAGGTTAGAATTCGAAATAATGCTGCTTATAAAACCTACTATTGTCCTTTGCGTCCTATTCGACAGCATGTGATCATGTCAAAATTAACAACTGTAAACTGAGATACTAGAATTTTTTGCCAATAATTCAGAATTGCCAATGCAAAAATTTGCTTCAAACATTAACTATTGAATGGAATAAATTCAAATACATATTATCGATTCATCAAAACTTCCAAATGCATTGTTTATTTCATTTTGCTTCATAAAATAGTTGGTATATTGAAATTGTAGCGTACCACATAAATTTAAAAACCAAACTAAATGTCATATATTTTGGTAAATAAACTCACCTTGTTCGAAAAAGCTTCATCTACTTTTCCATCCCTTTCTTTACTAATCCACGTCTTTTGATGTGTATTTTCTTTGGCACTTTCTTTAAATGCAAAATCTTGTTTGCTTGAAGTATCCTCTGTTTGTATTCGATTTGTCTGCAAACAAAATATTTATTTAATGACATTTATTTATTTGTTTACTTAGATTAATTAATTAATTTATTTATTTAGTATAAGATTAAACAAAATGTTCACCTACAACTTTTTATGGGAGATTTTATTATTTCGAATTTGTAATGTAGAAAATAAGTAAATGTAAGAAAGAAATATCGCCTGTTAATAAAAATGGAAAAAATCTTAATTCAAACAAATTCCCAATAATCCAAAGCTAAGAAAATGCAAAACTTAAGATATCTTTTAAATGGGCTGAAGACTCTTTACTTCTAATATTTCTAATGCAAACAAATCCACTTTATTTCGTGTTTAAGTCTTTGTTTATAAAATTAATTAAAATTCGTAAATCAATGTTGACGATTAATGGATCTGTCTCCTAAAAATATACTTATATAATTAACGAAATATTTTTATCTCCTCTTAAATACACATATTAAACAATTTAAAACAGTGTAAATTAAAATAGCCTCAATTGTTAATCACAGAGCGCTTAGGGTCTAGACAGCAGATTTTTATTTCGCATAATTTGGAAGAAAAAAAATATTTTTTTTATGTTTTTACTCTAAAACTTTATAGACGTGTTTATCTGGAACTCTGCAGTCAAGTTAGATATTTATTTGTTTAAAGTTGTAACAAATCTAAATAAATAATTGTTCCTTGCGGGCCCAAAGTAATAATACCGTTTTTGAGGAAGATACATTCTCTTCAGAGTGAGAACTATTCATCTTTTCTAGTTTTCTTAGTCTTCTATCTTCTTTTTTCCGTTTTAAATTTTCTTCTAATTTTATAATTTCTCTTTCTAATTGTATAATTTCTTCTTCTCCGGAACTCAAGTCCATGATGACGTTGAATGTGTGTGCTGAAAAAAAATTTCAAAATTATAACTACCAATTAAAAATACACCCCTCGCTGTCAGAACACTAATACTAGTGTATGTGTCAGTTTTTGACAATAAAACTAAAGGCGGGATACTCTATTATGTTAGCTCATTATTTTTTGAGAGGGAGAAAGAATGTTGTTAAAACAAAAATTTGCTATTATAATAGTTAAAATTCGTAAGCTGAGAACGACAGTGTTATCTTAAAAAAAAATTTATGACTCCACTATCAAATTCTAATTTAAAATTTAAAATATTCCATCAATTACTACCAAACATTTAATATAATTTTGAACAGCACTTTTATACAGTACATGTCCATTTAGTTAAAATTAAAAAAAAATATTTCTACTATGCATTTATTTCACACTAACAAAACTGATGACAGCCATTACTGTTAACCTCCGACAACACATACCTATACTTAAAAACTGTTGCAAGTTGAGAAGTGGCATTTCTGTCATATGTCTAACTGTAGTGCATAGAATATTCACAAAAAAAAATGGTCTAAATTTATTTCGACAGACCTTCTAATACAGCTTCATCGAAAAATTATAAAATTTAATTTTGCGAAATGTGGTATGATTTAATGATACCCTCTATAAATTTAAAATAAAGACTTGTGTGTGTATTGTTAAAGTACAGGTAAACAAACATCGAATACGTATGTTTCAAGCCAGTTTTTCCTAACAAAACTTTGTAATAATGGCATCAATATGTTAGCAAAGGCACATATAATTTGAAAATGTGCAATGTACAACTAATAATAATAAACCTGTATACTAAAAGTTTGGGAAACATGGGATGAACCGCTATTGATTTGATCAATAAAATATATTGCCTGATTCATTATTTTCAACTCACCCTGTATAAGTAATTTTAAGGCTTGCGATAGCCTTAAAACCTGTGCAAGATTTCAGAGCATTTGGTTCTGTAGTTTCAAAGTTAAATTGCAAAATGTTGTTATTGTGTTATTTTGAATTAGAGACCATTGAGCTGAACTTAAGTCAGTCTGTGGATATAGTATTAACGATTCGAAGATTCCTCGAGGAGAGGATTTAAAAAGCTGCAGATACTTTACAAAAAAATATCGGATACCAAGAGCTTAAACTTGTGAGCAAATAATTACAAAGCGAAAATGTAGAAATAGTTTTAAAAATGAAATCCACTGAAATTTCTAATTTTAGACATTGTTTTTTAACATAGTGTGATGTTGAGAGATCCTTGTCTAGACAAAAAAATGCCTTAACAGACAAAAGAAAAAATTTTTCTGTAGAAAATTTTTAAAAATATCTGATTTGTTATACAAACTTAACGATTTAAAATTAGAATCGCTGATCATGTGAAATAATAAAATAAATACAGGCTTAGCATAAAGTCCCGGGAAGGTCGAATAACTTCATTTTTTTTTTAATTTGGTTTGGATATATAGTTGATTGCAATATTTATTTAACTTCAAAAATGCCGAATATGTTTTATTGTACTTCAGGAGCGAGGGAGCTTCTGTCGAAACAACTTTCTACCAGTTTTTTTTTGTTTCTATTTTTTTGAATCAGTAGAAATAAACATGTTAATAATTTCTGAAATTAGTTTTTTATTCTGCATCAGGAAACGTCAAAAAATTTGGGTGTTCCATTAAAACAAAAGAAAAAGGCTACCTTGTGTGTGAAACCGAAAGCGATAAAAAAAGGAAAAATATTGATATCAAGTCACAATGTTCAATTGTACATCCACACCAAATTTCCAACATATAAATCTCAAAGAGAACCAGACGTTGCGTAAAATTGATTTTTCCTTGGAGATGTACCAAAGCTGGAAATACAAGTTTTAGGTCTGAAATTTTGTTGATATTGATAGAAACAAAGCAAGTTATAACAAGTTCGTTAATGATTATTATGTACAATAACAAATACGCGTACATGGTAAATTCTGATTGTAATTTTCAACTTACCCGTCAGGAAGTTCACTTATTTTTGAAATTTATAATCACAAAAAACTTTTATAACAAATGTTTATAATTAAAGTATTACTTTATTACGGTAAACTTTTATACATCCGTATCACAATGTTCACTAAATTTTTTAACGGTGTTCCTTATATATGCATAAAATGAGAGTGCGTCTCTTAGTTTTTTGTTTAAACGGCGTAATAAATCAATAAACACATCACCCACTGGTATGCTAAATACAAAAAGTTTGTACATAATTTACATTTTAATTAATTTACTACAAGTAAATATTTTAAAGCTAGATTTAGGCTAACGATAAACATGAAGTGTTTTATTAGCGCCTTCGTTGGAAATTTTGCAATAAAATTTTATCTTATTTAAGTTGTAGTTCATATTTATCTACTTGTTTCCATATGCGTCATAGTAAGTAAGATATGATTTATTTTCCAAGAATTGGTTTCTTAATTCTTTCATATTCAGTACAGTACAGAAAGGCAAAAACAAAATTGGCAGTCAAATACTTATTACATGGTAAAACTTCTTGTAGGTACATCTTCTCCTGAAATTTTGTGGAAAATTTATTGTTGCTTTTGACGGTTGACAGAGAAACCGAAATTAAACAGAAACATTACATGATATATCCTTATGTAACAAATTTCATAAGTTCAAAGACATTATCCTCCAGCATGATTATTTCCTCATCGGCATCACAGAAACATGGTGGTTAAGTCTTTTCTTAAATTTTAAATTTTAAAATTTTGATCGGATGAAACCTCTGCTAGCTCTATTGAGTACTTATTAATTAAACTTAAGATAAACTCACAGGAGATTGCCGTAGGTACTTTATAATAATAATAATAATATATAATACATATTGAACCTTGCGGTACTCCTGCAGTGACTTTCCTTTTAGCTGATATTTTATTATCAATGACAACTACCTGTGGCCTATTTGTTAAGTATGAAGTTATCAATACAACACTTTTTGCATCTAAACCATATTGTTTCATTTTTTCGATCAAGATGCTGTGGGAAACACAGTCGAAAGCTTTCGTGAGGTCTAAAATTTCAGCACACGTAAATTCTTGAGTGTCAAAACTCTCATTTATTTTATCGACTTATAAGGCATTAATTGCTAAAGTAGTGGATCATTTGGATATAATACCGAATTGTGAATTGTTAAAAAGATTATGTTCTTCTAGATGTAATGTCAATTGCCTTTTTAGTACTAATTCGAAAATTTTTGCAAAAATTGGAAGAATGGAAATAGGTCTAAAATTCTCTGGATTATTTTTGTTACCCTGCTTATAAAGAGGAACTTTTGCAACTTTCAAAGAATCTGAAAAAATGCTACATGTAATGCACATGTTAATTAAATTTGTTAAAGGTCTTAATATATGGCATCGAGTGGTAACTAGTATTTTTTTGTTTATGCCATAGACATCTCTGCCTTTGGTATTCTTTAAATTTGTAATAATGTCGTTTATTTCAATAAAAGAAGCTTCTTTAAAAGCGAAGTTTAAATCCTTATTGTCATTCAAAAATTTTCTATAATCCGTATGACATCTTGGAAGTTTATTTACGATATTCTGTGCCAAACTTGTAAAATAATTATTAAATTCATCGGCTGTTAGATCAGTTTTGCAGTTACTTACTTGTTCACGTTGGTTATTATTAAGATCCACCACTGACCCGGAAATGACCGGCATTCAGGCAAGACTTCTATCATTACGGGTACTAAGACCAAGTAATGATATACATTGATTAGATTAACAGAACAACTTTCGAGATTCTAGAATTACAGCATACAAATTAGTCTGCTATTATTATCTAATCTCACCCCATCCCCAAAAGTCTATTGATAAGCGAGCACATTGCTTTAAATGGATTATTAGACTCTGAAATGAATCTGTCATGTGCTCCTTTTCTTGATTTTATTATTTCTGAATATTGCTTATATTTTTTAATAAATGTTTTTAACTGTTCCGATGGATTCTTTCTGTTAAATTCTTCAATAGTGCAAAAAACTTCACGAATATTTTTTAGGTCTTAATTCAACCAATGAATTTTTGATATGTTATTGTTTATTTTAATTTTTGTTTTTGTTCTCAGTGAAAAAAAAAACGTTCTATGTAGGAAACAACAGTCGTAATAAAATTATAAAACTGTAACTCTACACTATTAGTGTTGTAATGAAATACGAAATTCGAGTCTAGATTTTCCATGTATGAATGTAACTTATAGAGTCCAACAGAAGTAATAGGTCTATGGTTTATATATTTGGTTATTTGAGGAAGACTAGGTATACTGAAACTGAAAGAAAGCTAATCATGATCTGAAAAACGAATTTTTATGACTGAAGTTTTAGTTTTTTTCAATTGTAAAATTGGTGAATACATTGTATAAGCATCTGTTTTTCTAGTATTAGTATTATCTGTTGCTGTTAAACCAAAGCAGCTAAAAAAATTCAAGATTTCGAAAGCTTGTTTATCAGGTTTATAAAAATGAACATTGAAATCACCTGCAATTAGGATATATTTATTTTTTGTCATTAAAATTTGCAAATACGATGACATTGTTTCATAAAATGTTTTTAAATCACCTGAAGGAGGTCGATAGACTGATATCATTGCAAAAATAGGGCCTTCAAAAGCTGCAATTTCACACTAGGTTTCGACAGACAAAGTATAGACATTACTGACAGAGCTGAAATATTCTGTTTTATCATTACAACAGTATATGGCTACACCCTCATGCCATGGCACGATACGGATCTACAAAAGAAGGATTTTAACATAAAATTTTGAAATGAATATGTTGAAATTTTATCATTTTCCAGTCAATGTAATATCCATCAAGTTCGTTAACTTTTTTTGTAAAGACAATATTTACATGTAATAATAAAGAGTTCGATACAACATTATATTTATTAGCTAAAATTTTACTTCTTCTGCGCTTATTATTTAACGTTATTTCCGTCTTTTCGAAAAAAGCTGAATTTAAATTTCTTCACAATTACAGCAGCCGGCCAATTTTCCGGCTTATAGAGCTCACTTAATAATTCAAAATTAGCTCCAACCTTAAAAGACATACTACGTGAGTTTGGTCTTTGTGGCATAGCTTCTATATCAAAAACATTTCCTGGGTATTTCAACTGCAAGAAACTCCTAACATCCGCAATAGTTGTCCCAGTTTTTACCTTTCCTACATGTATCCAGGCACGCTTTAAAGCTGCATTGAAATTGACTGGATTTTCTTCAATACGGTCTGCATTTCCCACAATGAATCTATTTTTTATACCATCTGTCTTGCAGTCATTCGGATCAATTGACTGGTTCGATGTGGATTTGTATTTATTATTATTATTATTATTATTATTATTATTATTATTAGTAATCCCTCAACAGGCTGAGAGCCCAATTACTGAGGAATAAAAACTAGAAAATAAAGGCAAAAACAACTAAGTTAATATAGAATTAGACACTGAAAAACTGCTTAATTTTTGCTGGCGAAGTACTAAATATATCAATTTCCGATTCCACCTCTCTATAGTTTTGAAGCATTTGATATACTGGAGACGATTTCAATATGTTTGTTCTTGGGACAGGCATATGCAACAAAGAATATGATCTTAAACCTGGTTTTAGCACACGTAGCTTTAGGATCTTAAGAAGATCTTCACATTTGATACGATAATTTAAAATATTATGTAACATTAAGATAGAAGCTGCTTTTCGCCTGCAGACCAAACTCTGATAGCCAAATCTACGTAACAGTATATCATTTGGAATTCCTCTTGTAGGGTAAACACCATCACAGATATAAGACAGGAATTTTAAGAATCGACGTGCATTTTTTCCAACAGAGAAATGTAGGTTTGATAAAAAGGGCTCCATACCACCGACGCATACTCCAAGACGGATCTGACGTATGATAAAAAGAGAAGCCTTAGAACATCAAGGTCTTTAAATTCCGCCGCGTTGCGAACAACAAACCCTAATGATTTATGCGCCGATGTCGAGATAACCTCATAGTGTTTGTGGAAACTTAATTTAGCATCATATGTGACACCCAAGTCACATACATAATCAGGGCGTTGCAGGACTCTTTGATCCAAGACGTAGTTGTATACAACATTAGAAAGTTTATTCGAATATGACTTTACGATGCATTTATCGGCGTTTAACAGCAAATTGTTTTTTTTCGACCATACCAACACACGATTCAAGTTGTCTTGCAGACGAATACAATGCAAAGATGACTGTACGCGAAAAAAGATTTTCAAATCATCTGCATAAAGCAAGGAAGGAGCGTCCAAAACATCTATAATGTCATTGACATACATTATAAACAACAATGGTCCCAAGACCGAGCCCTGCGGCACACCAGATGTCTGTGGAAACTGACGTGAGGAGCAACTATTACAAAATACATACTGATATTTGTTGCTTAGATAAGATTTAAAGACACTAAGCAAACCATCGGAAAAGCCAAAACTCTCCAGTTTATGCAGTAGAATACGATGATCAATGCGATCAAAAGCCTTGCTAAAATCCAAATAAATGCAATCAACTTGAAGATGTTTGTCGAACATTTCTGAGATAAATTGCGTCTTGATCATCAAATTCGTGACAGTCGACCTTCCTGTAATGAAACCATGCTGCATCGGTGACAAGTGCTGCGAAACATGGGAAAAGATGCGAGCATGCATTACAAATTCAAACACTTTAGCAAAGTTGTTGATCAAAGCAATTGGCCTATATTCACTGATTTCCGCAGTGCTTCCTTTTTTATGTATAGGCAAAATCCGAGATAACTTCCATTTGTCAGGAAATTTTGAATTACTCAAAATCAAATTGAATATAACTGTTAGTGGAGGAGCTAAAATTATGCCACAGTCTTTCACAAAGAATGACGGAATCTCATCGGGCCCAGCGGTTAACGTCGGCTTTAGTTTCTTCATGGCTGTAAGCACTTCAGACTCGTTAATTTTTCTAACATCTAATATATTTTGATTTAACGCACTCACAAGATCACTATCAATGGACGTATTCGTTGAGGTGCTACTAACAGGATGAAAAGACCTGGCAAAAAAATTCGCAAACGCATCAGCAATGTGTTGAGGGTTGGAAAGTTCGTTATCATT